CGGTATAGATGTAGTACCCCCTAGATCAGGGTCTGGTTACTGTATAGATGTAGTTCCCCTCGATCACGGGTTTTGGTCGGTATAGATGTAGTTACCCCTAGATCAGGGTTGGTTGGTTAGGCATAGAGTAGTACCCCTAGATCAGGGTTGGTACTGTATAGAGATGTAGTTACCGCCCTAGATCAGGGTCTGGTGACTGTATAGATGTAGTTACCCTCTAGATCCGGGGTGGTTTACTGTATAGAGTAGATTTCAGGGTAACCCTAGATCAGGGTCTCTGGTACTGTATCGATGCTAGTTATCCCCATAGATCAGGGTTGGTACTGTATGATGTAGGTACCCCTAGATTCCAGGGTGGGTACTGTCATGATGTGTAGTTACCCCCATGATCAGGGGCGGTGATACTTGTATAGATGTCGGTACCCCTATATCAGGTGTGGTACTGTATAGATGTAGTTACCCCCATAGATCAGGGGGTGGTTATGTAATAGATGTAGTTACCCTAGATAGGGTCTGGTACTATATAGATGTGTACCCCCTAGATCAGGGTGTCGGTACGGTATAGATGTAAGTTGACCCACATAGATCAGGGGTTGGTACTGTATAGATGTAGTACCCCCTAGATCAGGGTTCGGGTACTATATAGATGTAGTTACCCCCCTAGATCAGGGTTGTCGTGTAGGTACTGTATAGCTGTAGGTACCCCCCTAAGATCAGGGGGTGGGGTGGTACGGTATAGATGTAGTTACCCCTAGATCAGGACATGGTACTATTATCAGATTGTGTTACCCCCTAGATCAGGTCTGGTACGTATAGCTGTAGTTACCCCTAGATCAGGGGGTGGTACTGTATAGATGTAGGTACCCCCCTAGATCAGGGTGTGGTACAGTGGAAATGTACACAGAGATCATGATGTAAATCAACATTGATACGAGCAATGACACTTTAGACCAGAATGTGGTAAATAAGCAATATTTTATAAATATAAATGGTCCGGGCTTTGGTGTATGCTGCGAGGACTGCCTACCAGAGACAGGGCTTGGTGTCTGTGCTGAGGCCTGCATACCAGAGACAGGGCTTGGTGTCTGTGCTGAGGCCTGCATACCAGAGGACCGGCTGGTGTATGTGCCTGAGGCCTGCATAACAGAGACAAGGGCCTTGGTGTCTGGTGCTTGAGGCCTGCATACCAGAGACAGGGCTTGGTGTCTGTGCTGAGGCCTGCATACCAGAGACAGGGCTTGGTGTCTGTGCTGAGGCCTGCATACCAGAGACACAGAAGTGAGTTGAGGCCAGACCTTAATTTCTGAGACAATTGGTGACTGACCGAATAACTGCTACAACTTCAAAGCTTTATTGTCATGACTTCTGATTTTATTAACTGTTGTGTGTAATTAAACAATGTTTAAGGAATTAAGTATTTCTTCCGACTGTGATGATTTTATTTACATGCAAGATAGATGTCTGCACTGTTGGGCTCCCACAGTTTTATTGAGTACATCGTCTCAACCCAAGATAGATACCACTGTTGGGCTCCCACAGTTTTATTGAGTACAAAGTCTCAACCCAAGATAGATACCTGCACACTGTTGGTCTCCTACAGTTGTATTGAATCTCAACACAACGGTCAAAACATTGCACGCAGAAAAAAACTGCATTCAACAGTGTGTGGGTATGCATCTTTCTTTCGTGACTGTACTTTTTTTGTAACCTTCACCTACAAGTAACTGTACAGGCCTATACACTACCTATCTAATGAACAACAGCAAAGCAAGTGTCAATGTTCCATTCCAGGAGGAACTCCGCACCTCCCTTAAGCCCTTACAGGAGAAACTGGAGGGCTTTAATAAAGCGAAAACAAACCTGTGATCAAGCCGCTGTGAACATTTAAGGTAGTAGTATTAAGAATATAAGAATGAGGTGTTACGTTACAATGAAAATGATTGCTCGCAGATCTGCCTTAGCAATGAGAATTTAACATAAAATGAGAATGATGGCGTTGCATCATACATACTGAGTATATCAAACATTAGGAACGCCTTCCTAATATTGAGTTGCACCCCCTTTTGCCCTCAGAACAGCCTCAATTCGTCGGGGCATGGACTCTACAAGGTGTCGATCTGGTGTCTGGGCAGGCCAATGCAGTAAGCTGAATTCACTCTAATGTTCGCAGAACTATACCAGGACAATCTTAGCCTACCTGCATGGGGCATTATCCTGCTGGAAAAAAATCTATTTTCAGAGGGGATACACTGCTGCCCATGAAGGAATGCACCTGATTGGCAATCATGTTCACATATCCTGTGGCGTCCAGATGTTGCTCCACTTTTATCAAGGGGCACAATGTGTGCCATGAAAACACACCCCGCACCACCACACCACCACCATCACACCACCACCATCACACCACCACCATCACACCACCACCACCACACCACCACCATCACACCGTCGCCACCATCACTAACACCACCGACCATCCAACACCACCACCATCACACAGCCCCTCACCATCCAGCCACCACATCACACCACCACCATGACACCCGCACCATCACACCACCACGCAGCCGTGCAAATGTTGACAACGCGGCATGATGGATAGCATGTACTCATGTGGTTTTCTCCATACCATAGCCCCCCCCCATCAGTGTGAAACAGCAGGAACCGGGATTCATCAGACCAGACAATGTTTTTCCAATTCTCCAGTGTCCAGCGTTTTAGTTCCTTAGACCACTTCAATCGAAGTTTCTTGTTTTTTGCTGAAAGAAGTGCAACTCTTTAAGGTCTTTCGTTGCCATACCCCATTTTTGTCAATTTACTACGAGATGCACATTATTTTTATTTTTATTTGTATTTATTATGGATCCCCATGAGTTCCTGTCAAGGCAGCAGCTACTCTTCCTGGGGTTTATTATGGATCCCCATTAGTTCATGCCAAGGCAGCAGCTACTCTTCCTGGGGTTTATTATGGATCCCCATTAGTTCCTGCCAAGGCAGCAGCTACTCTTCCTGGGGTTTATTATGGATCCCCATTAGTTCCTGCCAAGGCAGCAGCTACTCTTCCTGGGGTTTATTATGGATCCCCATTAGTTCCTGCCAAGGCAGCAGCTACTCTTCCTGGGGTTTATTATGGATCCCCATTAGTTCCTGCCAAGGCAGCAGCTACTCTTCCTGGGGTTTATTATGGATCCCCATTAGTTTCCTGCCAAGGCAGCAGCTACTCTTCCTGGGGTTTATTATGGATCCCCATTAGTTCCTGTCAAGGCAGCAGCTACTCTTCCTGGGGTTTATTATGGATCCCCATTAGTTCCTGCCAAGGCAGCAGCTACTCTTCCTGGGGTCCGGCAACATTAATGCAGTTATATACAATTTAAAATATTACATGACATTACATTTCAGGCCACTACTCTACTATTACATATTTACAATACAACATCCATGTGTGCGTGTGTGTAGAGTGCGAGTTTTATCGTGTGTATGTGTGTCTGTGCCTGTGTCGGTGTCTCTTCACAGTCCCCGTTGTTCCATAAGGTGTATTTTTATCTGTTTTTTCAAATCTGATTCTACTGCTTGCATCAGTTACCTGATGTGGAATAGAGTTCCATGTAGTCATGGCTCTATGTAGGACTGTGCGCCTCCCATAGTCTGTTCTGGACTTGGGGACTGTGAAGAGACCTCTGGTGGCATGTCTTGTGGGGTATGCATGGGTGTCCGAGCTGTGTGCTAGTAGTTTAAACAGACAGCTCGGTGCATTCAACATGTCAATACCTCTCACAAATACAAGTAGTGATGAAGTCAATCTCTCCTCTACTTTGAGCCAGGAGAGATTGACATGCATATTATTAATGTTAGCTCTCTGTGTACATCCAAGGGCCAGCCGTGCTGCCATGTTCTGAGCCAATTGCAATTTTCCTAAGTCCCTCTTTGTGGCACCTGACCACACGACTGAACAGTAGTCCAGGAGCGACAAAACTAGGGCCTGTAGGACCTGCCTTGTTGATAGTGCTGTTAAGAAGGCAGAGCAGCGCTTTATTATGGACAGACCTCTCCCCATCTTAGCTACTGTTGTATCAATATGTTTTGACCATGACAGTTTACAATCCAGGGTTACTCCAAACAGGTTTAGTCACCTCAACTTGCTCAATTTCTTCATTATTTATTACAAGGAAACTGTTGAGCGTGGAAAACCCAGGAGTGTTGCAGTTCTTGACACATTCAAACCGGTGTGCCTGGCACCTACTATCATACCCACGTTCAAAGGCCCTTAAATATTTTGTCTTGCCCATTCACCCTCTGAATGGCACACATACACAATCCATGTCTCAATTGTCTCAAGGCTTAAAAATCCTTCTTTAACCTGTCTCCTCCCCTTCATCTACACTGATTGAAGTGGATTTAACAAGTGACATCAATAAGAGATCTTGGCTTTCACCTGGATTCACCTGGTCAGTCTATGTCATGGAAAGAGCCGGTGTTATGTACACTCAGTGTATATTCCCCTCACTGTCTCAAGAGCCAGGCCCAGCACACAAAGAGGCAGATTAAGGAGGATTGAGAAGCACCTGGAAGAGGAGGCCAAGATAGCTGGACTGAGGGAGGAAGAGGAGGCCAGGATAGCTGGACTGAGGGAGGAAGAGGAGGCCAGGATAGCTGGACTGAGGGAGGAAGGGGAGGCCAAGATAGCTGGACTGAGGGAGGAAGAGGAGGCCAGGATAGCTGGACTGAGGGAGGAAGAGGAGGCCAGGACAGCTGGACTGAGGGAGGAAGAGGAGGCCAGGACAGATGGACTGAGGGAGGAAGAGGAGGCCAGGACAGCTGGACTGAGGGAGGAAGAGGAGGCCAGGATAGCTGGACTGAGGGAGGAAGAGGAGGCCAAGATAGCTGGACTGAGGGAGAAGAGGAGGCCAGGATAGCTGGACTGAGGAGGAAGAGGAGGCCAGGATAGCTGGACTGAGGGAGAAGAGGAGGCCAGGACAGCTGGACTGAGGAGGAAGAGATAGCTGGACGGAGAGGAAGAGGAGGCCAGGACAGCTGGACTGAGGGAGGAAGAGGAGGCCAGGATAGCTGGACTGAGGGAGGAAGAGGAGGCCAGGACAGCTGGACTGAGGGAGGAACAGATGAAGGAGAAGATTGAGGAAATGAGCAGAGTGATGTCATCACTTCCAGACACAATCAGAGCCATAGTAACTGATTTGATTTCAGTTATGATATTCATTAATTTGTTATTTTGTCCCACTGCAGAACTACAATGAAAAGGTAAGTGATCTGCATCCTCTCCCTCTTCTCTGTGGTTCTGAACCCAACACTACAGCGGCATGTTCTTCCAGAGCCCAGTGAACACTGCTGGATCCACAGCTGGTCTCAGGAGTGCTGATAGACGTGACCAAACACCTGGGCAACCTGAAGTTCAGAGTCTGGGAGAAGATTTAGAGGATTGTGAAATACAGTGAGTATAATTTTAATTTAACCATGAACAAGTTCATTTACATATTAAATGTTTACCCCAAACCGTAAAATACTTAAATGCATTCAGACAAACAACAGGAAAACAATCTGTTTATAATAATTTTTCCATATTCTCGAAGTAAAAAAAAATGTCATTTTCTTTGGTCAACACCTTCTTTTGATAGATTATGAACATATATTGTGTTCATAAACAAACAATGACAAATCAATAAAAATAAAAAAAATGATTACAATTTGTCTCTTACTGGTCATATCAGTCCTGATGTCATGGCCAGTTCTAATCTCTAGTTCGCTCTGTTCAGCTCCTGTGGTTCTGGACCCCGACACTACTTCACCCACGTTATACCCTGTCTGACATCTGACCAGAGAGAGAAGCAGCTTCCTGACAACCAAGAGAGGTTTGATTACAATCGGCTCCGGGGGGCTTTTAACTCAGGGACACAGCTGGGATGTTGAGGTTTGGTCAGAATACATTCTGGTTGGTGGGTGTCATGCCAGGGTCTGCCCAGAGGAAATGATAGATGAAGACTGAAAAGGTAGCAAATACATCAGGGCCAGAGATTCTCCTCACAGTGAGACAGAAACTGCAGAGGATCAGAGCAGCTGGACTGGGAAAGGAAAGCTGTCATTCTCTGACCCTGATAATAACACACCTTCGCTGAGTCCTTCCATGCCCATGGCAAAATTATGATCAAAGATAGATTCTTTAATAAATTCAAAGTTTACCAAAGGTTAAGTTAATTTTTAAAGGTGACAATAGCTTAAAAAGCATTCGTTTAAATGGTTCGTTTTTAAAACTACTAAGAGCCCAGTTAGAATTTATAGGCAGGCTAGGAGTCAGGACAATAAATAACACGAGCACAGGGGCAAAACTAATACAGCAGTTGCTTCACTCACAGAGCAGTGGCCAATGTTCGTTAGTTCGGCGCTACCCGAGCAGGGTTTGGCTCTTCCTCCCAAGCAGGGGTTGTTAGTCTGTGACTGGTACGGTAGTCGATGGCTGGCTGCTGGGCTCTCCCCGACTCCAAGCCAGGCCAGCTGTATTGTAGAGTAGATAGCCTCTCGGAGCTGCGTCGGGCGTGTCCCCCCCCCCGTGTCTGAAGCTGCGGGGGGACAACAGACATAAAATTAAAGCATGTACAACTTGGAATAACTCACACGTTAGCCATAAGCACTTTCCTTTAGTAGTGCTACAGCGAGCGTTGTATGCGTTTCCTTGTCGGTAGCCGGCCTTAGTCGTCGATGGATTGATGGATGCCTGCTGTCTCTCTCTCAGAGCCAGGCCTGCTGGACTGTGTTGTAGTGGCTGTCTCTCTCTCAGAGCCATATAATAAACATGCTTGTAACGCTAAGGTAGTGGGTTCGATCCCCGGGACCACCCCTTACACAAAAAAAAATATGTATGCACGCATGACTGTAAGTCGCTTTGGATAAAAGCGTCTGCTAAATGGCATATTATTTATATTTATTATTATAAGTAATAAAATAAACACGCCGATAAGTAATATAATAAACACGCCGATAAGTAATATAATAAACACGCCGATAAGTAATATAATAAACATGCTGATAAGTAATATAATAAACATGCTGATAAGTAATATAATAAACACGCCGATAAGTAATATAATAAACACGCTGATAAGTAATATAATAAACATGCCGATAAGTAATATAATAAACATGCCGATAAGTAATATAATAAACATGCCGATAAGTAATATAATAAACACGCCGATAAGTAATATAATAAACATGCCGATAAGTAATATAATAAACACGCCGATAAGTAATATAATAAACACGCCGATAAGTAATATAATAAACACGCCGATAAGTAATATAATAAACACGCCGATAAGTAATATAATAAACATGCCGATAAGTAATATAATAAACACGCCGATAAGTAATATAATAAACACGCCGATAAGTAATATAATAAACACGCGGATAAGTAATATAATAAACATGCGGATAAGTAATATAATAAACATGCGGATAAGTAATATAATAAACACGCCGATAAGTAATACAATAAACATGCCGATAAGTAATATTATAAACATGCCGATAAGTAATATAATAAACATGTGGATAAGTAATATAATAAACATGTGGATAAGTAATATAATAAACATGCCGATAAGTAATATAATAAACATGCCGATAAGTAATATAATAAACATGCCGATAAGTAATATAATAAACATGCCGATAAGTAATATAATAAACATGCTGATAAGTAATATAATAAACACGCCGATAAGTAATATAATAAACACGCTGATAAGTAATATAATAAACATGCCGATAAGTAATATAATAAACATGCCGATAAGTAATATAATAAACATGCCGATAAGTAATATAATAAACACGGCGATAAGTAATATAATAAACATGCCGATAAGTAATATAATAAACACGCCGATAAGTAATATAATAAACACGCCGATAAGTAATATAATAAACACGCCGATAAGTAATATAATAAACACGCAGATAAGTAATATAATAAACATGCCGATAAGTAATATAATAAACACGCCGATAAGTAATATAATAAACACGCCGATAAGTAATATAATAAACACGCGGATAAGTAATATAATAAACATGCGGATAAGTAATATAATAAACATGCCGATAAGTAATACAATAAACATGCCGATAAGTAATATAATAAACATGCCGATAAGTAATACAATAAACATGTGGATAAGTAATATAATAAACATGTGGATAAGTAATATAATAAACATGCCGATAAGTAATATAATAAACACGCCGATAAGTAATATAATAAACATGCCGATAAGTAATATAATAAACATGCCGATAAGTAATATAATAAACATGCCGATAAGTAATATAATAAACATGCCGATAAGTAATATAATAAACATGCGGATAAGTAATATAATAAACATGTGGATAAGTAATATAATAAACATGCCGATAAGTAATATAATAAACATGCCGATAAGTAATATAATAAACATGCCGATAAGTAATATAATAAACATGTGGATAGGTAATATAATAAACATGTGGATAAGTAATATAATAAACACGCCGATAAGTAATATAATAAACATGCTGATAAGGTCCTCTGTAGCTCAGCTGGTAGAGCACGGCGCTTGTAACGCTAAGGTAGTGGGTTCGATCCCCGGGACCACCCCTTACACAAAAAAAAATATGTATGCACGCATGACTGTAAGTCGCTTTGGATAAAAGCGTCTGCTAAATGGCATATTATTTATATTTATTATTATAAGTAATAAAATAAACATGCCGATAAGTAATATAATAAACACGCCGATAAGTAATATAATAAACATGCTGATAAGTAATATAATAAACCTGCTGATAAGTAATATAATAAACACGCCGATAAGTAATATAATAAACACGCCGATAAGTAATATAATAAACACGCCGATAAGTAATATAATAAACACGCCGATAAGTAATATAATAAACACGCCGATAAGTAATATAATAAACACGCCGATAAGAAATATAATAAACACGCCGATAAGTAATATAATAAACACGCCGATAAGTAATATAATAAACTCGCCGATAAGTAATATAATAAACACGCCGATAAGTAATATAATAAACATGCCGATAAATAATATAATAAACACGCCGATAAGTAATATAATAAACATGCTGATAAGTATATAATAAACCATGCTGATAAGTAATATAATAAACATGTGGATAAGTAATAATAATAAAATGCCGATAAGTAATATAATAAACATGCCGATAAGTAATATAATAAAACGCCGATAAGTAATATAAAAACGCCGATAAGTATATAATAAACATGCCGATAAGTAATATAATAATAAACATCCGATAAGTATATAATAACAGCGATAAGTAATATAATAAAACATGCGATAGTTAATATAATAAACATGCTGATAAGTAATATAATAAACATGCCGATAAGATATAATAAAACATGCGATAAGTATATAATAAACAGCTGATAAGTAATATAATAAACATCTGAATAATAATGATAAGTAATATAATAAACATGCTGATAAGTAATATAATAAACATGCCGATAAGTAATATAATAAACATGTGGATAAGCAATATAATAAACATGCTGATAAGTAATATAATAAACATGCTGATAAGTAATATAATAAACATGCCGATAAGTAATATAATAAACATGCTGATAAGTAATATAATAAACATGTGGATAAGTAATATAATAAACATGCTGATAAGTAATATAAATAAACATGCTGATAAGTAATATAATAAACATGCTGATAAGTATATAATAAACCTGCCGATAGTAATAAATAAACATGCTGATAAGTATATAATAAACATGTGGATAAGTAATATAATAAACTGCTGATAAGTATATAATAAAGATGCTGATAAGTAATATAATAAACATGCCGATAAGTAATATAATAAACATGCCGATAAGTAATATAATAAACATGCCGATAAGTAATATAATAAACATGCCGATAATATAATATAAAGTAGAATAGGTGTCTCTAGTTTAGCAAGAGTCAGTGTCACTTGACTCTGATGATCGTATCATTTCATAGGTGGGTAGAGTACTGTAAATCTGTACTTAAGTAAAAGTACTGTTACTTAGATTGTAATTTACTCAAGTAAAAGTAGCCCTCTTAAGAAACTACTCAAGTAAGTTGAAAATAAGTATCCAGTCAGAAAACTACTTAAGTACTAGTTACAAATGTAGTTTGGTAATTTGTTTAGTTTGAAGACGTGCACCGTGGTGGAGATACACCATGTGATGGAAAACTTTGAGAGCCAATGGACTTAAGAGTTTTGATGACCAGCTACACTACATGACCAAAAGTATGTGGACACCCCTTCAAATTAGTGGATTCGGCTATTTCAGAAACACCCGGTGCTGACAGGTGTATAAAATCAAGCACACCGCCATGCAATCTCCATAGACAAACATTTGGAGTAGAATGGCCTTACTGAAGAGCTTAGTGACTTTCAACGTGGCACCGTCATAGGATGCCACCTTTCCTACAAGTCAGTTCATCACATTTCTGCCCTGCTAGAGCTGCCCCGGTCAAATGTAGGTGCTGTTATTGTGAAGTGGAAACGTCTAGGAGCAACAACGGCTCAGCCGCGAAGTGGTAGGCCACACAAGCTCAGAGAATGGGACCGCCGAGTGCTGAAGCGCGTAACGCATAAACATTGTCTGTCAACGGTTGCAACACTCCTTACCAAGTTCCAAACTGCCTCTGGAAGCAATGTCAGCACAAGAACTGTTTGTCGGGAGCTTCATGAAATGGGTTTTCATGGCCAAGCAGCCGCACACAAGCCTAAGATCACCATGCGCAATGCCAAACGTCGGCTGGAGAGGTGTAAAGCTTGCCGCCATTGGACTCTGGAGAAGTGGAAATGCGTTCTCTGGAGTGATG